GCAACAAAGCCCAACATAAGTCTCAACTCAAACCATAAAGAGCAGAAAACATAAACAGCATCCAATCCAGTCATGACTGCAATACAGCATAAATATCATAATCAGCTAAACTCTGGCCTCCTGCCTCCAGAGACATCACTCACCATACTACCTGAACCTGAAATAAGCATTCCCCAAACGTGGGGTAAGATCTCTAAACAAGAAATCTCAGTAAGACAAGGGGTCCTCAAGGGTCTTCCACCCCAAGCTCACTTACATGTGCAATATAAGTTTAAAAGCAGTTCATCAATATCATTTCTGAAACAGTGTAATGCAGCAGATAATCATGTCATGTGTGTCAATTCTATTCTACTGGCCAGAGAAATGCAGGAATAAGTATACGTCTATTACCCACAATTAGTGCAAGATGCTACTTGCATCCACCCCGGATCACCGTCTTGTATGACGCCACATACTCAGGCTTACCGTCAAGATGGAACAACACATGCATATTAAAAGCCATTAACACATAAAGCTCAACAGCATTTCATATATCAAAAGCATGTAACACAGCATGCATATAACCATACCCCCATGGGACATGGTGGAACCACAACATGGCTAAACCGAGGACACGTAAGCTTACCTTGCAAGCTAACACCCAAAGCCAAGAGTCCATAGCTCAAAGTCCAAACACAGCAGATTCACAATCTGTTATGGACCAATAATATATCAATAAACATGTACCGCAATCATACAATATTAAGACAACGCTTTTCCATTACGTTTTACGTCTTAAGGCTTCTCACCAAGCCATAAGCTCTTAATCACTTGATTCTGACTTACATTAATTAATTACAGAAGTTCAACTTCCTCAAACTAGGGTCCACAAACCCATAGATCAGTTCTGGATGAACAGTACGCTATTGTTCCTCGCAAACCCAGAATATCTGGATATTCCTCGGGGACATATCCGGATATGCAATATTCGGATATTCCACCGGAAAATATCCGGATATTTCGCGACAGAATGTAGTTTCTGCATTTCGCGAAGATATCCTTCCAAGGTTCCATTTTTAACACTTCGAGAAGCTTAAACATGCATCTTAAGGTTCATTGAGGTTCATATGACAGTTGGTTACTTGTTTAGTTCATTAAACATACCAAGACTTCATCTTTAAGCAACAAAACTCAAGATCAAGGTTGGTAGAACTTACCACAACTTAAACTCAGCAAGATGGGTGCTCTTGGAGCTCACACAACAGCTCCAAGGTACTGACTTCAAGGGTGCACGAAAATACCACCCAAGCAAGGGTCTTTCTTCACAAAGAAGGCTCCTTGAAGCCTCACAACCAATCCAGCAAGTCAACCCTCAAACCCTTCCCAAACTGAACCTCACAACTCAGAAAAGGCACCCTAAACACTCTCAAATGCTCACACTCAAGTGTTTACTTGATCAAGAAGTGAAACAATGATCAAAGGTGGTGACTTTGGTGAGAAAAGGGAGGAGAAAGGAAGAAGCAAGGTGGCTGGTCCAAGGCTTCAGCAAAGTTCACGTAGAAGGCACAATTTCTGACCTAGAAATGTGTGTCATGGCCTTATATAGGCCCACTTAACCAATTAACACTGTATTAACTTTAATTTTTACGCTTAGAATTTTAATCTCAAACTTTGGATTCTTAACCTACTCAATTTTACAAGAATTATCATATTTTTCTTATATTTTCGGAGCACCTTTCCGGTACGCACTTTTCATAGCCAGTACCAGTTTCTGGCACCAGTTCTCATTATTTGGACTTGAAACTCGTTTTACAAGTCCTATACATTATTCTAGTAATTATCATGTACTTATTACAATTTTCCGGGATACTTTTTCGGTACGCATTTATATCGACTAGCATAACCGGTATCTGCACTTTTCTTCCGAAAAGCGACTTTCAGCATTCTTAATCACTTATCATAATTATTAAAGCCTCTTAATAATTATTAGGATCAATTATGGAATCATTTCCTAATTTAACATAACTTTCCTTAATTAACGGTGCAGGTTCTTACAGTATCTCTCTTAAAATGACACAACTTTCTGTCATTTAAAATGACAAACACTTTTCCCATAATATAAATCTTCAATGTAAGCGATGAGAACAAATACACAACTGAAATACTATAATGGTTTTTTTTTTATCGAGGTAATCAACATTTCATACACATTTTACTTAGATGATACAACAATGTGCTGCATGTTACTTCATAAATATGGATGGCGTAATAGATTATGCATCCTTCATATGTGATAGAGAAAATAGTTTCCCATGCTTTACATAGATTGGTACGCTTATCAAGCTATTATACATGATCTTTGAAGGTACTCCATGTCATACTTATATAAAAAAATTATTTTGATTCTTTGAAATGAATTAAATTGAAGAAATGTGGGAAACGTATTTAATTATGATCCTATGGTTTGAACATTATACTGTTATAAACTTGAATATAATTTTATATGATGACGTGAGATCTTATATTAGTTAATGTTTTCTTAAAAGGAGAAAATTATATTTACAAACTTTTTGTTTACAAATTACACTAAGTATGATCGGTCATACTTCAATCAAGAGTGTATGACCGATCATACTTAGTGTAATTTATAAATAAATAAATAAATTGTAAACGGATCATTCCCTTTCTTAAAAAGTGAAAAGCTGTACATGCATGGCCACAGACACGTAAACAAGAGAAAGAACATCTACAAGAAAAAAGTAAAGAAACATAATTAAATAAGTTGTAAAATAATCTCAAGTTTTACATTAGGTGTATATGGCCAAGGAGAAGTTCAACCTAAGACAAACATGCTTCCCAGCATTTTTAGCTTTATAAGGATCAATACATTGTATTTGGCTATATATTCTCCTAATTAAAGCTCCAATTATTGTGAGTTCATGATTCTAAACAGAAAAATAACACCTGACCTTTCCCCTATTTCTTTATTCTTTCCAATTTCGTCTTCTCTACACAGAGTCACATGCATCAACTTCCATTGTCTATACATCGACATACGCACCCTTAGAAGCTCTCAATCGTTAACTTGGATCCCTTTATATTATTTATTTTATCATTGTTTAAAAGATGTTTAAGAGAGAGAAAGAGAGGGGTCCATTAATCATTGCCCTCAACTAATTAAGGATACCCATCTGAAACTCATTATCAAATAAGAATTGGTGAGATGATCATAAACTTGTTGCTATTACAGTTGGCTAAAGGTTCCTCTTGTTTGGTGAGCCCAGTTGGTGCTATCATACTGAGGCAAATAAATTATATAAGCAACCACCAAATACATATATCAACTGGTAAAGGGTTATCTAGCTTAATTAATGATCTCGAGTTCGAGTCTTAGATATACAATTGTGTTAAAAATTTGATAAGGAGAGATTTGTTCCCTATGATCCTACGTACCTCGATTGGATTAATCAATTAATCGACGAACCAATGGAGAAATAAAAAATAAAAAAAAAACAATTATATGAGCAGAGAGAATATGCTAAAAGTTAAATAAGTTCAATGATTTCATTGATCCTGACACTGCAAGTTGCTTCTAGTTATTTCAGTTAGAAACTCTGTCTCAGAAGCAGACAATTCCGCAAATGAAATTAACATAAATTTAAAAAAAAAAATATAGGCATCAATTATTCATGCAAATGAGTTTTATTTATTTTATGTAGGGTAAGATAAGTTATGATAAGGGAGGTTGCGTATAACATAACTTGGGGATACAGGTATGCAAAAGTTGTTCATTATCTGGTTATGTTTACTAATATTACAAATAATCTTGTATGATAATATATCAAAATTTTACTCATGAACCGAACCTGGCAGAATTGGTTTTTCATGTTTATAGATAGTTCTTTCATATTCATGGTCTAGGTAAAGTAGGATTTAAGATATTTTTGAACCTGACCAACTCATAAAAGCAACAGTTAGGAGAACTGTTTCCTTCAATCTTGCTTAACTCAACACATGAGAATTTCTTGTGTAGTTATAGTACACTACTCCATTAACAACGTGAAATGTGGCACTCCATAACTATATTGGTTCTTATTTTTAAAATAAAATACAATTCAATTAAGGAAAAAGTGTGTATCATTTTGAAGGACACAAAATTGTATCATTTTAAGTAAAAGAAAAAGATAAATCATAAGAGAGAGAATGAATAAAAAAAGTTTTAAAGACGCGGGTCTCACTTTTTTATGAGAATGACACATTTTTTTCCCTTCAATTAAATATGAAAATCTACTAAACTATCTATGTTCTGAACTCACACCATGGGTCCACAGGCTCTAAAAGATGAGAGTTCAAGCCAACCTAATTCAAAATACGAATCATGGATCCAATTGGGAGTTTGAATCTTACTCAAATTCCCCCACCTTCTAATAACCCTTTCTCTGTAAACAAAAGGGTTAAACTCCACAAGTAAATATTTCTAAAACCCTAGCCTCTATTCTCATTACCACTAATAGTGCATACACAACACCACGTCTTCAAGTCTTTTCTTTATACATAGTGATCTATCACCATCTGCGATTATTTCTTTCATAGATATCATCAGTACTCATATCTCGTATTGATCATGATCCTCTCGTATCGAACTATTCAGAATAATACTCTCGCAGTATATTAAAAAAAATTCCCAACCCACACATACATGTTAATTGGGTTGAACTTGTAGATTTAACATACAAAAATAAAAATAAAAAATTAAATCATTTGGCTGGGACAATTATGGGTGCTGGATTCAATACCCCCACATTCATTTCTCATTTCCAGTAGTGCTATATGTGTTACAAAAGTAGCTATGAATAAAGCACAAATGATGTGGCATCATGGTTCATGCATAAATTAAAGGATTGTGAGACCTGAGTTAAAGAAAAATTATACACCTCCCATGCAACATTTGCAAGAGTTTTGCTCCACGTCCCATTTCATGAAAGTCTAACAAATGATTTTCGTACTATTTAGCATTTTTCATATGAAAAACATATCATTTTTCATATTCCTTGAAAGGGTGACACACAAGAAATCAATTTAATCTATCCACACATTACAAAAAAAAAAAATCTAGATAAACTCAGCTTTCAGATCCATCCCCTTTCCTTTTCCTTGTGACTGTTCTTTTGTTGGATGTCTTTAGCTCCACCTCTTCTACCACTTCCTAGTTGCACCCTTTGTGCCAATCTCCCTCTACTTCCAATGGAAACTCTAACTTTCTCCATCCCTACATTTACACCAACCTTTCTCATATGTTGTTGCAGTGGAGATTTTACTATTTTCTTATGCAAGCTTCTTCTTAGTAAGCTCTTCTTAACACCACTTCTTACTTCTTTGGGACTCTCACAATGAGTCTGTGTAGGCAAAAAGCTAGTTTCTGATTCCCCATTGACATCATTCTGATCAGCTTGGTTTGTTAACTTGGGTAATAATGGTGATGGGAGCTGTGTTAAGCTAGGTACACTTGGGAGTGGAATCAAAGAGCTGCGCCTTGAAGCAATGGCTGAAGGGACACGTGGTGTCATGGTGCATATAGAAGCTCTTCCGCTCCTTTTTGGCAGTAGTGCTTTTTCAGCCATGTCAGGATTGTTTTCTTTCTCAGTTTGATCAATGTATTTGATGGAGCTCTCCATTGTTGAAAAGGGTATAAAAGGTTTTAAGATGTTGTTCTCCGTAAGAGGTCTAGTAGAATTTAGTTGGTCTTTGCACAAACCACCACTCACTGGATCATTAAAATGCTTGAGACTTCCTAGTGGTCGATTTGCAAGTGCTGGTTTTGTAAGTGCATTGTTTTGCTCCTCTTGATGTTTCATCTGATGCTGCTCAGCTATCTTTGAGTCTACATGTTGACGTGCTAGTTTTCTCTCAATCATAAGTTGTGATTCCAGTTCCTTGACCTTCAAAGTGAACAAAGACAATACTGAGAGATTCGAGAGTAGGGGCGAGGGTAGCGACTAGCGAGGGTAGGGATGAGAACAATCGTAATACGCAGCCTTACCCTTGCATATTTACAAAGAGACTGTTTTCCGGATTTGAACCCGTAACCTTTCAGTCACAAAGGAACACTTTTACTACTACTTCAGGCTCACCCTCTTAGAGGCCTCTTCTTTGGGAAAAGAAGAGTACTTACAAGGATAAAAAAAATTCAAATTTGTGCTTTTATGATACCTTGTCTTGCAGATTTTTGTTTTTATTATCTCTTTCCTTCATCTTGGACTCTAATCCATGGATTGTTTCCTCCATCTTCTTGATTTGAAAATCCTTCAGCTTTACCTCATGTTTGGTTTTCTCAGCCTACCAAAGGAGATTAAACTTGATGAAAATGTAATAGACTAACGCAGTTAGTTAAGCAGTGAGATGTTGATAACACAGCAGCATTAAAGCAATCATACCATCTGTTTGTGTTTCAGAAGTTCAGTAGTGTCCAACTGCTTTTTTGCAGGTCCCAGTTCTATTCCCCTCACTCTACTAGCAAAGTTCAGAGAGCAAATTGTCTCACTCAAATCGTTTTCATTAGGACTGATCTGTACAAACATGAGTGCCTTTGAATCTCCTCCTAGAAAAACATGATTGTTCATCAAATTTTACAATCATATTTGCATACATACGGAGGATAGAACTCAAGCAAATGAAGCAAGCCTAGATAAAGTTTCTTTAATTACCTAATGAGTCTTGCAGCAAGTGTGTAAGCTTGGAGTTCCTGCACCGCGAAGAACAATAGAAATTTCAATACTAACCAATAGACCAAAAGGTGGTGATTCATTTCAGCATTACTGAATGAAAACAAGGGCTAATATTTATTTCCATAACCTGAAAGGGATGTGTGAACTTTTTGTTGCAAGAGCTGATATGACATCACCAAGTGCAGATAGAGACCTATTAATATTTTGTGTCTCCTTCAGTCTATCACCTTGCACTTCTGTCTTTGCCACACGCTCACTGCCTGCTAGGTCCACCAGCCACAATTTGCTTCTCGTGTATTCCCCATTCAACAAATTCTCCCCCTTCACCATAACACAGTGAATGCTGCATAAAATGAACACCCCATCATAAGCAGTGTTTCTCCAACCATTCTATTCAAATATGGTTTATGATTCCAACTAAAAAAAGTTGAAGCTCACCAGTGAGATCTGCTGCTATGCTCATTGGCATTGGTTGAGCTTACAGCCCTTGCATTACTACCAGTTTGTAGGACTTCCCAGACTTCAGTCATGTTGTTCACATTAGCCTCAACCAACCCTGGAATGTGATGCATTCCTTCACCAGCTTGCCTTATTTCAAGTCTACAATTAACCACATTTTAGTGAACTATATCAATTGTTATTCTGACGAACTTATAAAATAAGCTAGAGTGTTGTTTTACTTAAACTTCCTTGTTTAAGAGTAACTGGAAAGTGCTATTAGGTTGAAAATAGCAGGAAAAAATAACTAACTAGGTTGTAGTCTACCTTTTTGCAGCTATTCCTGGTTGATTTCCTAGCAAATCTCTTATTTGCTCATTGTACACTTCTAACACACTTACAGAGACATCATAACGATAGAGTTTCTGTCTCTCCTTGATTATGTGAAACATTTTCTCAAGAGTCCTGAAATTAACTCCACGAGCCTCTTCTGTGCCCTCCATTGTGAAAGTTTTACCTGTCCCAGTCTGGCCATATGCAAAAATGCATACATTGTATCCATCTAGAACTGAGGTTGCAAATGGGGCTGTGTCTTCAAAAATATCAGCTATAAAGAAAAACAATACAACTCTGTCAAAACTAGCATTTTGTCTTCAATTCAAAACTGTTGAATATCATATATACAAGAAGAAATGATAGTAATCCTTGTTTTATTAAACTAGACAACATTGGTGCTATTATATAGCAAACCAATTGAAGAATACAAAGAGACACACTCAATGTGGGACTTCTACACTATTAACACTAACACTCTTAACACTCCCCCTCAAGTTGTAGCATATAGATCATATGCTACAAGCTTGATACATAAATAATACTCCCATTAGGAACCAAAAACAACAATGCTACATCAACGAAATGAAATGACTAAGTACAACAAATCAACTGGAATGACCATCAGTCTGAAGAGCTGATAAAGAGATAGTGCTAGAATGGACATCAGAGCATGGATGGTGCCGGAATTATCATCGGCAAAGACAACTGAGCTGACCAGGACATCAGCATCAAGATCCCTCTCAGGCATTTCATTTAATAGTTGGTGAGCAGCCGTGGTTTCCCCTTGACTATGCTACAAGCTTATTACAAGAAAGACCAAGTAACATAACATCAAAATAAATCTCCTAAATGAGAAACCAAAAATCAACAATGTGCTAAAAATGGCGTCGAAATGAACATCAACATGGAAGATGCCGGAATGATCATCGGCAAAGACAATTGTGCTGGAATGACGATCAGCAACATGGACAGTGCTCCCCCTCAAGAGGAACTTCTAAACAGTGCCGGAATTATCATCGGCAAAGACAATTGTGCTGGAATGACCATCAGCAACATGGACAGTGCTCCCCCTCAAGAGGAACTTCGGTGTCAGAATTAACATCAGCGGAGACAACATCAGCAACTTGGACAGTGCTCCCCCTCAAGATGGATGATGAATAGTATAAATACTTCATCTTGGGAAGAAAGAAGATTAAAGAAAAACAAAGCTTCGCGGAATCGAAAAAGTCGCCGGAGACGGCGGTGGGTCGCCGAAAAAGTCGCTGGAAAGTCATCGAAAAAGTCGCCGGAGACGGCTGTCAACGGTGGACGACGCGGTCAACGACAACGGTGGTCAACCCAACAACTTCCCAATGATCATTCTTTTCTGATGTGACAGATCAGTCTAAGCTGCAGTCACAGAGCATACTAAGAAAAATCCGAAAAAGAAATAGCAACGGGAAACCCTCAAGGAGGGTGATATCTCTCTATAACCATATTGAAATTATGGAAAATAGAACTAAGTTAAACGGATTAAGATTCCTCTTGTTAGGCTCTAGATACCATGTTGAATATCATATATACAAGAAGAAATGATAGTAATCCTTGTTTTATTAAACTACACAACATTGGTGCTATTATATAGCAAACCAATTGAAGAATACAAAGAGACACACTCAATGTGGGACTTCTACACTATTAACACTAACACTCTTAACAAAAACCATCCTTAAGAATTCGTGGAATTAATGCATAATTACCTTGTTCAGCTTGGGGACCAAACACAGCATCAAACTTAAAAGTCTTTCTGGGAGCTCCATTTGACATTACAGTAAGCTCACCATCTTTAGCAGATTCAAAATCTAATGCCATTGTGGCTCCTGCTGTTATCTCTTCAGCATTGAGAGGCCTACACCGGCAAAAGACCCTTATGTTTCCTGTGAGGAAGAATAGATGGTGAACCATCCTGCACATAAATCACATTTGAGTCTAAGAGAACAAGATCAAATACACAGCTTACCTCTTAACTCCAAAACCTTATTGTAAAGCTCTTTTCTTTCCTTAGCCATTTCAATATACTTGGACTTGAGATCATTATGTGATTCCAGTTCTTCATTCACTATAAAAAGAGGAATAAAAATTATGTGCAAATGCAGAAAGGAAAGCTATTAACGCATATAAGATCGAAAGATATATTGTAGCAATGTCTACTTACTTTTGGACTTGATAATAAGCTCCACTTCACTCATATCTGCTTGATATTTCTTGTTTGCCTCTGCTTCCTCTAATAGCTTGATGTGTTCCATTTTCATTATCTATTCAATGAAAATGATTCACACGTTGTAAATACATGTTTACCTTTTAATTTGTTTGTTATTCAACTTTGTTAGGATATTGGTACCTTCAATTTCCTCATCAAGTCTCTCAGTGATGAAAACCACTTGCTTTTCTCTTTCACTTGCCCCTCAATGGCAAATGCTGAAAGCCCGAAAAATCAATGGATTAGACAAACAAAACCTTAAATGCTTAGTTAATTAATAATAACTTAAGGAAGTGATATGCATACCTAAAGACCCTACGTGCATGGACTTGCGCATTAGCTCATTCTGAAGCTCTTTCAAGGAGTTCCAAGCTTCTTGGCATTCTCTACTCTTCTGTTGTTTCTCCCTCTTAATCTCCCCCAACTCCCTCCTTGTTTCTTCTAGCTCCTTTCTCTGACTCTTAAAATCTATCTTCAGCTTCTGAAACTTCTCTTCCACCCCAATATCCTTCACAACCTACAAAAATATCATTGAGAGCACACACAATCACTCTCAATTTCCTGCTCAAAAATAAGAAATATACATACCATTGTTCATAAAGAAGCATACTTCTGAGGACTCCAATTCTGCTTCCTGAGACACTCCAATATCTTCTAGCATTTCATTATCTCCTGAATTTAAAAGCAAAATTTTGTTTATAGATAACCACTTGCACTATAACCAGAAACATCACATCATGTTAGATCTATGTTCAAATTTCAAAACCTTTGTTCACAATAAGTGATAACAATAGTTGAACTCACTAAGAGGGTAGTCTTGGGGAGACTCATCCTTGGTAACCGGGGGTGGAAGAAGCTCGAAGGAGGCTTCAGGGGATAGCATCTCTTCCCCATGTTCAAAAGTTTGACACAAATCAGAGAATTTAACTGTTGGGGTCTTATGAACATTGTCAACATCAACTTCAGAACCATTGATTCCATTCTCAAGAGAAAGCTCCATAGATGACTCCAAATTCTTGCATTGTTTGCTCTTCAACATCTCAGGGGAATCACCATAGCTGATTCCAGCAATATCTGGTGACCCAGCACAAATGACGAAATCTGGGGAAGTCAAAGAGTACCCCAACATTGATCTTCCTGAAAAAATTCATCCCATAATATACAACCAAATCCTCGGAGACACCAAAACAAAACAAAAATAAAAAAAATAAAAATAAAAATAAAAATAATATAAAAGAAAGAAAAATCTTGAATTGTGCAAGCAAACCCCAACTCTATTACCATCAAACACATTTTTCACAACTGGGTCATCAAAATGCACGCTGTTCCCTTGAAAGCTTCTATTTTTCCGAGAAAATCCTACAGCAACCACTATTAAACCTTGATAACTCAACAAAATCACGAAATGGGGTTCATCAAAAACAAGAAAAGATTCAAATTTTGAATAGTCTTTTTCATTTTTTTTATCGTTGTCCTAACCGTAACTTGGGCTGCCACCATGAGTTTGAGGTTCCGCCGCCATAGCCGAACTCCGAGAGCTCGGTGATGTTTGTGAAGAAATGTCTGTCACGTCAAAAAGAAAACAACGAGTAAAAAACCAAAAGGGTACACGAATAGATCATCAAGTTGAGAACTTTGAAATCAAGTTAAGAACTTCGAAGTTTTTTATTATTTCCAAGAGAGAAAGAGAATCGACAAAAAAATTGAAGGGTCTTACAATTGGAACAATGAGAAGTGGAAGAAGAAGAATCTTGTTGCAAAGAAACGTCTGTGAGAAGAAGAGGGTCATGGTCATAGAGATGCCATTGATTATCCTCCATTGATAAAATAACCAAGCTGTTTGAACTTTGAATTCAGCAGTAACAATAATCAAAGCATAAAAAAAAAAGGAGGGGTTTATGCTTTACATAATGGTTATGATGATGGTGATGAAAAAAAAAAAGTTGAAGGTTTTTCAGAAATTGGTTTTGATTTCGTTACGATGGAGTGTATAGATTGAAACTTGCCTTAATGGGAAAATTAGACCGTTGGGGTTTCAAATTTTGAAATGTTGTAAGCGGGTGAAGGTAAGAACAATATTCACAAATTACAGAGTTTTACAAAACATTATAAAATCATGTGTTGAAGCTTTGTTTGGTGGAGTTTCTGCTTTCTGCTTTGGATTCTGACTTTGGATAAACTAAAGTTATTGGAACATGAGACACGTCACATTCCCTTTGTTACTTTGGATTAAAAAGTGAGAGGCAATAAAATTTGATAAGCTAAAGTTAATTAGTGTCTTCTTCCGATGACAAAAAAATAATAATATTAATAAAATAAAATTATGAGATTAGGGTGTAATGTGGAAAAGAAATTACTCCCTATTTTAGGAGATATTCAATTGCCTCATAAACTAATAATTATGTTACCTAACTTGGGAAATCAAGGAAACATAGAAAGAATAGTAATGAGAAAATATTTTATTACTTAATTCTATGAGAGAAAAACAAAGAAAGAAAGAAAATTTGGTAGTGAATTATTAATATGATGAATTAACCATTTTGCCAAAATTCAGTTTTGAAAATTATAATAAGAATTTTATGTAAAGGTGTGTTATTTTATAGGGTAAAGTGTGTGTCATTTTAAAGGATATAAAGTTGTGTCATTTTAAGAGAGAGAAAGAGATAGACAAAGAAGGAGAGAGAGTTGACCAAAAAAAAATAAAGGTGTGGGTCTCACCTCTTTGTGAGAGTGAAGGGATATAAGTTGTGTCATTTAAAAGGATAAACAATTTTCTCTATTTTATATTTAATTTGTTTTCATCCACCTCACTCCATATGGCAGCATTCAATATTTTCCCTTATTTTATTCTTTACCTTTAAAAGAGGAGAAAATCAAAAAAAATTCATTTTTGATTCTATTGATTTATTACCAAAAACAAAATCAAAATGATTCTATTGATTTATTAATAAATGAGTTATTTTTCCCACTCAAAATTTGAATTTAAGTTTCATTTCTTAAAATATTCTCCACTATCTCTCAAGCTATGATCAAGAGTTAAAAAGGCAAAGACCCCTCCTAATAAAAAAAAAAAATTCTATATACATATATCTCAAAATCAAATTGGAGATTGCATGATTAAAAATAACCAAGAGTAGTATAAGACTGAACACTTAGTTTGGGATTAGAGGCAAAATTTTCCACTCTAAGCCTTTATGGAAAATCAATCTATTAATACTTACATTTTATATTACATATTTTATTTTATTTTGGTAATATGAAGGGGTAAAAAACCCCAAACACAAACTCAATTCAGAAATACCCTACAAAGACTACAAACCAAAGAGAAATCAGTCAAATACAATGGCAGAATACCAAGAGGAGGGGAATGAAAAGCAATAAAATTATTCTCCAATCTATTATTCAACGGATATTTGGACAGCCAGTCTACACATGCATTACTCTCCCCGAACACATGAACCAGATGAATCTCTCAATCTCTTTGTAACCATGCTCGAATATGAGACACCAAGCAGGACTCTCGAGCTGCTCCTCCACTTTTGGTGAGCAAAGTGATCACGGAACTAGCATCACTTTCCAACAAACAACGCCTCCAGTCCCCAGCCCAAGCCATTTCAAGACCTTTGAGCACTCCCCAAAGCTCAGCTACAAACGCTGAACAGTGTCCTATGTGATATGCAAATCCTTGAAGCCATCTTCCAGTCTCATCCCTAATCAGTCCCCCACAAGCAGCATCTCCTCCAGAAATTTTGGTTGCCCCATCTGTATTGATTTTAACTCAACCAGCTTCCGGAGAATGCCAACCAGAAGGAATATAAACTGGGTTCCTCCTAAGTCCTAACCTGACTAACATGGCTATGCATCCAAGCGTAGGAGATTTCATTAACTTTCTGTTCTATCATATGAATTTTGTAAGCCAGCCAATTGTCCTCAGCTCCATGAACCACCTCATTTCTCCAACTCCAAGCGCAAGAAACAGTGACAGCAAACACTATCAGACAGTGGGTATTAAACCGCTTCAAATCTGCATTATTCAAGTTCATCTTCAACCAGCTACATAAATCTGCACTAAAAAACACCATATACATATCTGGGTTAATTAAATCCAGCCACACTCTCTTAATTTTGTTACAATCTCTAACCATATGAATGATGGTTTCTTGCTCAATTTGACAAAGAGGACAGATTGAACCAGATATACAAAATCTGGCTAGCATGCTTCTTATTGGCAGACATTGATGAGCTAATTTCCAAAGAAGAACACTGATCCGGTTAGGTATTTTTAATTTCCAAATGACAGACCAGATCCCATTATCAATACACTCTTCATCATCCTGATTAGTTAATGCACTATATAAATGCTTAACTGAAATCTCACTTGAGCCTTTAATGTTCCACCTTAGTCTATCAGCCCCACTACTCACCTGAGGAGGTAATAACCCTCTTATAGACTGGACAGTACTCTCTGGAAGGAGATTAAATAGAACCCCACGTTCCAAGAACCATCAGAATCAACATAATCCCTAACTTTTCTCCCAATTTCAGCCTGAGGAATAACAGAGATCACTTTACTGGCTAAGATAGTATCATGATCTACCCATTTATCTTCCCAAAAATCAATTGATGAACCATCACCAACATCCCAAGATAGCCTAGGCTTCAGCTTATTCCAGATTTCACACATGGCTTTCCAGAGGCTAGAATTCCCATTCTTCCAGAAAAAAATTTCTTGATTATTACTCACACTTCCATACTTAGCTTTCAACACCTTTACCCACAGCTTATCATGATCATTAAGAAAGCTCCAAACAATTTTTCCCATAAAAGCTTCATTCATCACAAAAAGCTTCCTAATACCCAAACCACCCTGAATTTTTGGCCTTGCAATAGAATCCCAACTAATGAGATGCATATGCTTTTTGTTGACTGTATCACCCCAAATGAAAGCTCTCTGAAGTTTCTCCAGCTCGTTGCAAATAGCCCTCGGGATCATGCTATATTGCATGTGATAGTAGGGCAAGGCAGATAGAACAAATTGTGAGAGGACTATTCTGCCTGCTTGGGAAAGAGATTGAGATTGCCAATTGCTCAATCTCTCTTTAGCTCTCTCCACTATACCAGCAAAGGAATTCTTGGTAACTCTTCTATGCTGCATCATAGCCCCAAGGTACCTACCAATGTTTAACACCCTTTTGAAACCACTCACCTCTAAAATCTTACTTGCTGTATCAATAGGAGTATTTTTAGAGAAATAAACACTAGTTTTTTGTTCACTTACTTTTTGTCCAGAAACTTCTCCACACAGATTTAAACAACGAAGAATGATATGAATTTGCTCCTCACTAGCTTCCAAGAAAAGCATCAAATCATCCGCAAATAGTAAATGAGAGATTTTAGGTCCCTCCTTACCTGCCTTGATAGGTTTCCACAAACCTCCACTAACAGTAGTTTGAATAATATGGGAAAGCTTCTCCATAGCTAAAACAAACAGATATGAGAACATTGGATCTCCTTGTCTGACCCCTCTACTAGGCTGAAATTTCTCTATCATATCCCCATTCCACAATATGCTAGTTTTAGAAGAAGATACAGCACCCATAATTAACTCAGTTAGATGCCTAGGAATCTGAATCTCTTTTAACACATTATGAATAAAATTCCAGTTGAGATGATCATAAGCCTTCTCCAAATCCACTTTGACTGCCATAAAACATTTCTTACCCCTCATTTTCTTCATAGAATGAATCAACTCTTGGACCACAATAATATTATCCTGAATATGACGATGAGGAACAAAACTAGATTGAGCAGGAGATACCATCTTTGCCATTATTGATTTAAGACGGCTGACAATAAGTTTACTAACAATCTTATACACTACTGGGCAGAGAGAAATCAGTCTAAATTGGCTTATATGAGCTGGAGATTGAACCTTAGGAATGAGCACCAGAAGTGTCGAATTAATAGAAGCCAGAATATTAGGATAGTTCCACATCTGATACACTAGAGAGCAAATTTGTGATTTCATCAAATTCCAATTCTTATGAAAGAACAGGGCTGGGTAACCATCAGTTCCTGGAGCTTTAAAGGCACCAATACTGAACAAAGCTTGCTTAATTTCAATTTCATTTGGGAATTTTCCGAGATACTCTTTTTCCTTAACCGAGAGATCTGGCCAAAAATTTTCTGATGTGATCCATCTCTTCTCCTTCATATCTTCAGTGAACAGTCCTTTGAAAAAATTATAAGCCATATCTTTGAGATTAGATGGATTTGTTACACATGCATCACCCTCACTTTTCAATCTAAAGATCTTATTTGAAATCCTCCTCACCACAGTACTGAGATGATAGAATTTAGTATTTCTATCCCCATCAGTAATCCATTTTTGCCTAGATTTTTGAAACCAAAACAATTCCTCTGCATGGAGCACATTTACAAGCAACTCCTGCCATTGATTCTCCAAACATTGTAAATGAGGAAAGTCATTAATTTCCCGTTTACATTGAATATTGGCAATATTTTTAATCAGTCTCTCTTTTCTCCTTTCAATATTACCAGACACCCTTTTATTCCATATTTTTATCTCAGGTACCAGCCTTTGAAGCATATATGGAAGATCAAAATCCAAATCCCAACTTGACTTGAGAAATTCATTAAACATCTGATGTTCCTGCCATGCTGCAAAGAAACGAAATGACTTCTTATTATTGCCTCTAGACTCCTCAAAAAGCTTAATGAGAATAGGATTATGATCTAACAGATGTCTAGGTAAAGAAGAAACTCTAGCTTCATCAAATGTCATTCTCCAACCTACATTAGCCACTATTCTATCCGGTCGTTTACAAATCCTGCTCATATTAGCCCATTTTGGGCCCTGCCAGGTAAATAAGGAGCCATCACTACCCAGATCAGCAACCTGGCAATCATCAAGCACAGAAGCAAACTTAGCACATTTGACTGAATTAGCTGCCACACCTCCTTTCTTCATATTACATATTTACTTTGCCCATTCAGATCCAAAAATTTAAATAAATAAAAAAATGTATAAATAAATATGTTGATGTGTTTAACATCATCCACTAACTAAAATACTTACATACTTAATTCCACTTAAAGAAGATCTTAGATTCAAATTCTTGTAAATGTAAAAAATCCCTTTTGGGAAAACTAATCTCACCATAACATGAATGTTCTCGACTCGAATAAGATTGTCTCCCGTGAAAAATACCAATAATTTATCCAAAAAAATATTTACATCGGTTTACAACCTTGGATCATCAAACTATACTTTGTCTAGAAATATACCAGTAGAAATACAAATTTCCAGACCTCAGTGTATAAGATATTGCATCCATTTTATAGAGCATCATACAAAAAATGAAGGAAAAAAAAATCCAATTCTTTCCTTGTCTTATATGTGGTTGTTACAAGTATTCAGGGGTCAAGGCAATGAAAAATTTCCCCTCCTTAAGAGGAGCTGAAACTAATATACGTTGCTATATACACCTTTACAGCAAACAATAGAACAAATGATTTTGAACTATGATCTTTCAGCAGCCACCCTCAATTTACATTATGATGTGGAAATTGTTACCTCTTGCCCAATGTCATAACATCATTTGGAAAGAAATAATTTTTTTTTCAGCACTTGGACTTGTCAAACACAAGATAGGAACCAATCTCATAGTGGCACTGGCACATGCACATCATTGTTCATTCTACAATTTAACTCCTACTCCCTCCACTGCAGCTGCCATTGATACTGAGGCCTCTTCAAGGGTCCTCTTCTTCTCAAATGTGTTGAAGGCTTCAAGAATATCACCCTCTTCCCAATCATCATAGTCTTCTAACCCAAGTCCACACTCAAGACCAGCATTTACCTGTTCACAAGCAAGAGAAAGGGAACGTGTATTCATTCAGGCAGTAGCTATAACAACATGGAGAAGCAACACATAGCGATTGTTCAGCTGTGCTAAAAAAACTGCGAGAAAGAGCTATTACAAGTTCATAGAGGGCAACATCTAACAAGAAGCATTCCTCAAAGCTGAATAGAAGATATCCTTAAGGAAAAAGTTTATGCAATATGTAGTAAGAGTTATTGATAAATCCTCAAATGTTACATGGGTGTTCATTTGATGCATTGATGCATACCAACTACAAGAAGCATGAGAATAAGATGATTCTTACTATGCAACATGACTGCAAATCAACAATTGCTAATTAAATGCATTCAGGTGACTAAGCCCATTGCTATACAGATATACTGATTGAAAATAACCAGCCTTGGTCACAAGTTTGAGCATCCAACAATATCCACAATTTTGTTGGATTTACAATAGATTACTCCCATGAAATCCCGATTCGCGAGGAGGGGTAAAAACATGTAAGTAAGCGCTCAAGGAAGGGCTTGAACCTTCGATCATGTGGTTAACAGCCACAAAGCTACTCCAGCTCTTTTGTTGGATTTAGAATCAACCCCCTAAATGAAATCAACTAGTGCAAATATAGACAATAAAGCAGAAAATATAGCAACCTCCTGAAAATCTATTATTATTATCACTCTACATCACATCATGGCATTAGTTTCAGAATACTAGCATAATTAATGGGTAAAGGTTAATAGATTTATAATGTTTATTTCTCATTAAAAAAAAATACAGAGCCTTTGCCCATTGGTATTATCCAAAAGCAAATGAAAATGGACCGAATATAATTGGCTTAACATTTAGTAAATTCTTTAAAATTAGAAGGAATAGTTGTTCAATCATGTTTATAGTTGCAAAATGCAATTGTGTAAAGAACCATTGCTAATTAATGGTTTTATATTTCTCTAACACGCTCCCTCACATGAAAACTCATTGGGCTTGAAGGATGGATGATACATCAGGCTCAACCTACCTATGCTAAGAAATTCTACAAGACTTAATTAACTATTTAACTAAATGGGAGGCGGTGAGGATTGAACCCGTGACACCGAAGCTCGGATACCATGTAAAGAACCAATTCAACTCAAAAGTTTAAGCTATTGGATAAGGCTATATTAATGGTTTTATATTTCTCTAACAAATTGTAAAAATGGGAAGTAAAGCTGGAAGTAGAGTCATACCTCATTGACAACCTCCTTCACTCGTCTCAAAGAATCAAGAATACCAACATGAATTACTTTTCCCTTCCGAATGACTCGAATACCGCAGCCTTTTACTACCTTTCCCTCTTTAACCATGCATCCAGCAACACGACCACTACCGCTGCTGAATGTGGCCCGTACTTGTGCTGAGCCAATTGATACTTGTTCCTATGAAAAAATAATAGCAGTGAGTCTTGCAATGAACCATTGGTAACTTTTAAGTTCAGAATGAATACAAAAGTGACAAAACAAAGCATGCCCTAGTATTCACAAGCTTCAATATAAAAGGTCCCTGGACCGTAAATGTTGGGTAAGGACCAGTTGACACTACCTAATGCACACTAGACAACATTTACAGTGGCAATATATGATTATTATGTGTAAAACAAAAATAAAACAGAATATAAACTATATAATAAATCTACAAGCATCCTTTAGAAAACAAAGTGTATAACACAATTTTATGTGACATTGGAGATATTTTCTTTGCAAGCTCCACGCCACGGTACTTAAATGTCATATAATAATCAGTCTGTACTCAGAAGTGTGCATTTGCATAATCTACACTAAGAGATTACAAATTTAAAGATATTTGATTTACCTCAACAGGTTCCAGGAGACCTTCCATTGCGTTCCGCACATCATCAATTAATTCATAAATTACTCTATATAATCTAATCTCAACGGCTTTATTCTCTGCATAGCTTTTCACAGAGCCTGGTAATTTGACATTAAATCCCAAAATAATAGCTTTGCTCGCAATGGCAAGGTCAACATCACTTGTGTTTACATCGCCTGTTGCTTCCAACAAAAATTTAAGTGTGACATTATCCTGTGGTAGCACCTGCAAGGCTTGTCTGACAGCTTCAATAGTTCCCTAGCCATGACCAAGAACAATGACATTTAATTGCAGGTGAAGCAATAACCACATTGATGATGAAACAATATTGAAGTAGCAGCCACTTAGTACAATAAGAAAATGCCAACTTCATTGTATGTTTACCCATTGTGAGCATTTAGGCTTGGCATACAACAGATTTGCATATTTATGATGGACAGATTATTGACCAGTTTTATGGTTATGCATATTTAGAAGTGAAAGTCTTCTCACATAGGCTACACTCAAAATTAGATGAACACAAACATGCAGGCACACACGCATGTCTAACACTTTAACTAGTATATAAAAACAAACAATTTCATTGCCATACAGATGAATATCTAAGCATGTCTTAGTAAATAGCTTGTGTCAAATTGCTGGGCCAGATCATCTTTGGCTAATTATTAATAGCTATATTAAATTACTCTATTTCCTATTGGTATACAAATTTTTGCCAGCAAGAAGAAGTGCTCAGAGCCCTTTATGTGGTAGCAAGTATCATATGATAAGTTCACAAGGTAAACATTCAACGTAAATTGGTAACATAAATTATGCTTTTATTTCAATTATTCAATATAATATAAAACCATCGCATCATATCACTAACAAAGTCACCAATAAGTTCAATCAGGTAGGTGGTTCCATATTTAACATCAACAAGATGCCGTACAAATTCAAGTAACACTAGTAGCAGTGATCATACCTGAAGATCAACCTTCAAGATAATATTTAGTTGGTGCAAGTCTAGTCCAGAAAGCTTTCCTGATGAAACTGCAGAAGCTAAGGAAGAAAGGGTGACCTTGCCATCCCCTGCCTTTGCTAAAATACGTTCATTTCGCAATAACTCAGCACGGGACTCTGCCTTTTCACGTGCAGTATCAAGGGACTCAACAACCTCAAATTCATCACCAGCAATTGGAACATTATTCAATCCAATAATCTGCAGAGAGGCACAGAAGACCGATCAGAAAATTTTGAATTAGGTCAACTTTTGGCTTCTATTCAGAAACTCAAATGTGCATGGCTCCGAAAAAGTGACTGATGATGGAAACTAAGATAATACAAGTATAATTCTGTTATATTCTCCACCATTGTAAATTTTTCCTCATGCTACTATGGATGCCACCAAAATATTTTCATATTTTAATGAGGAAAGCATTACTTTAAATCAGTAATTTTGTAAGCCATAGTACATAAATCTTAGGAGAAATGAAGTCCACAATGATAAAAGAATCAGACCGTTTACTTTTATTAGTAATCACTAATGCTATTGCTATGCAGCTCCACTAATTATTCCGTTGCCAATCCCTCTGGTGCCAACAATGGAGGAGTGCTAGATCAACGATGAAACAACATTGGTTATAGAAAAAGACTGATGAAAATAGAATTTAGTGTGAAAAACACTTTGAAAAAATCTAACTACAACCTTTTACCTCTTAGGCAAATGCTTCACCACATATTAACCAGACACAAAAGTATAGCCCAAGGATTGGGGTTGAAGAGACTAATCTATGTTGAATATTTTAAATTTGTATTTTCTGGATTAATTAATTTGTTCTTAGTTGTAGGAACATGTATATCAATTATTGATATCATTACTCACTAGTCCATAAGGTAATACATAACAATACCAAGACTTTTAGAACCATGAGCATGTGCTTATCAATTATATTTTATAAGCGTGGGTATGCACATAAATATAAATTTAATATCCATGCACAAGCATAAGGAAGTAATTTCAATAGCAACTAGAGAAATTTCATGCCAACCATTCTGCAGTCAAATAATGAATTCACATCAATATTCTAAATGAAGATAAGTAAACTTTATCAGCATCCAGCATTTGCGTTGACTAGCAAAAGTGTACTTGATACATGCAGTGATTCAGCATGCACACACCAAGGGAAACCACACAGAAAAGTTGCCTACTTGAGGTATGCCTGATGGGAGATGATGACCTCTCTACTTCAACCACCCCCCACCCCCCTCTTCTCTCTCTTTCTTTCTTTTGTACAATGCATTTTTTGTTTTGCTAAGGAGGTTCTTCACAGGGAAACTTTTTCAGAAACACAAAAAAAGTAGCAATGCATCATATGCCCTTTTATGCTCTATGAATTTACACACCTGTACAGGTATAGAGGGGGTAGCTACATCAACACGCTTTCCACCATCATCGAATAAAGCCCGCACCTGAAAGAAGTAAATAAAATGTTTACCAATGCAGAGGGAAGCAAAGCAGATTGCGCAGAATTCAGTGACCAAAAGTTAAGGGCATATAATATTGAATTTAAGTTATGGTATATACCAACCTTTCCAAAAGCTTCTCCACAAACTACTATATCTCCCCTTCTAAGGGTGCCATTCTGCACAATAAATGTAGCAAATGGTCCTTTCGATTTATCTAGCCCTGCCTCAATGACTGTGCCCTTTGCACTTCTATCAGGATTAGCTTTCAGCTCTTGCAACTAAACCGTTAATGCTTAGGTCAGAATGAATGCCAGGAAGATTAAAAAAAAAGCCCAAAAAAGTGTAAAATTTAACCAAACACTATGAATTAGTCAATAATCTTCTCAGTCCCACAAAAGCACCAAAAATTAATCAAGGTGTCTGCAATATGGAGGAGACTTCAGAATGCTAGGTCACCTTAAACATAGTTCTTTAATGTGCTTTTCAAAACAATGGCATCAAAGAAGATTTGAAGATGGAAAAGTGTGAGGGTCAAACTCCATCTATCTTTGAGCAAATAACAAGAGTTTCTGATATGTGTAAAATTACTATGATACTGATTTATATTTAGATATTGATCACACAGAATATGCCAAAAGCAAGATAAAGAGATAGAATAGCAGGAGAGTTAAGTGACTTAAACTAGTGATGACGCCAATGGTAAACATGTTACCTCGCCAACAAGCATAATAGTTTCCAAAAGATCATCCACATTCTCCCCTTTAAGAGCACTTATCTGTTTACAAAAGAGAAAGAAAGCAAAATATAACTTCCTAAGTTACAGAAGCATAAAGAAAATATAAGAATGATTCCAACAAAAAGAGAAATATAAACCTGAACCATTGGGACATCACCACCCCAGTCTTCTGGCATTAAACCAATTGAAGAAAGATCTTGCATAACTCGTTCTGGATTTGCTCCATCTTTATCTATCTGTTTCAAATAAATAAATAATAATGTGTCAACAATTCCTCTAGCCATCACCAAGTAAAGCATAGGAATTGTAGATGTTGGAGACACATCAGGATGGCATGCCTTGTTTATAGCAACGATTATGGGTACCCCTGCCGCTTTGGCATGAGCTATAGCTTCATTTGTTTGAGGACGAATACCATCATCAGCAGCCACAACAATAATAGCAATGTCTGTTACGCTTGCTCCACGAGCTCTCATCGCCCCAAATGCCTACAGAAGCATATATAATAGATATCATCTAAGGGAAAGAAAAGTGTAAAGTTGAGTTATAGTTAATAATCCAGCTAAAAACTACAGACTAGCATAAGTCAGCAAGTCATCACATGCATAATAGTTAAAATCTCAATTTATCACTGTTATTACGTTTTTACGATTTTTTTTCATCAGAACGTTTTTTACCAATATTCCAAGTGCTTTTACGTGTATACGATTTTTTATTCCCCGTCCGTTTTTACGTAAAATCTCATTTTTAACTACCTTATCACATGGATTAAAGTACCCAACCATGATCCAGCAGAAGGAAATGTACAAGTAGTTTTGCATATTTATAAGGAAAAAAGTTAGAAATGAAAAATTTTATTAAAATTAAGCATACCTCGTGTCCAGGAGTGTCAAGGAAAACACAGGGCAGCAGTTTGCCATCAACAGGTACTTGCACTTTATAAGCCCCAATTCCCTGTGTGATACCACCAGCTTCAGAAGCAGCTACCTGTTAACAATTGGTGCATCAAGCTTAAATTGAATTTGAGTGTAATATGAGCATCAGTAGGTGAAAACATAATTCCAACATATTCAGATGCTACGAAAAACAGAAGCAAAATTCAGAAAAGGGAACAGGGTGAAACTGAAAGAAACTGGAAGAATCATAAAAGTTTTATTAAATATTCAATGTACCTTGCTCTTCCGTATATAATCCAAAAGAGTTGTCTGCCAATTGATAACGCAACAAATATTAGAAAATGGAGGAACTTGGGGTGAAAAATCAGACATGAGGGAATAATACATAGTGCTGTCACTTACCTTGCCATGATCTACATGGCCCATGATAGTAACGACAGGAGGCCTATCTTTGAGTTTGTCAAGGTCATCTTCATCAAGAATTTCCCTTTTCTTCACTAATCCTTCGACTTCAACAGGATCAACATCCATGACTTCCACGTTATACTCTTTACATACCATCTTCACCATATCATTGTCTAAAGTTTGTACACCATCCGGTTTAATCCCCTTGGCGTATAGCAAACCCAGGATTTCACCTTCACTGATTGCCAAATTGTAGGCTAACTCCTCCACTAGCATACCCTTGTCACTGACCTCTAGAATTTCTACTTTGACAGGAGCTGCATCCTTGGCAGCCTGAAGTCTTGCTGCCTTTCGACTTGCTTTACTCCACTTCCTTCCTTTTCTTGCTGTTGCAGCACCAGGAATAGAAACATTCAGTTCTGATGTGTCCTCATCAGGTATCCCATCATCTACTATTCGTCTTCTGGGTCCTCCCCCAGCCGGACCACCTTTCTTCCGGTAATCATCTTTAAACTTTCCCGGGGGAGGGGCCTTCCCCGGTTTTGAAGGGGCTAAAACTGCTTGAGCAATTACAGGATCAACTACTGGTTTCTTGGAAGCAAACTTATCAATCAAGATGGGGCCCTTCCTTTCTTTAGATTTAACAGATGTTTCAGCTGCATCCTTATCCCTCAAGACAACAGGTTTTTTAACGGGTGGGGGAGCTATAGATGGTTTAGCTTGTAACATTGGTGAAGGTTTTGAAGGTGGCTGAGGAGCACGAGATTGTGATGTTACCTTCACCCCTCCCCCTGTTTGAGATTTCTCCCCTTCATTCTTGATACTAGGCTTGGGTACTTCCTTCACAACCTTCTGCACAGCTGCGACCGTGTCCCCTTTACGCCATACACTCTTCAATGTTTTAGCCTTCTGGGTTTTTGTTGAATCTACTGGTTTATCAGCCTTAGGATTAGCATTTGTATTGGATCTTACTGGTTTATTTACTGACCCATTATTTCTTTCACCATCCAACTTAGGATTTTCCAGCTTTTCAGCCTTCTCCAACACCTCTCCAAGCGACTCAATCACTTTATTCCTCTCCTCTACATCCTCAGGAGGTTCCTTAGTATCCCTAGAGGGGGCCCAAGATTCCGAATTCGAACCTAAAATGGGGTCAACCTTATTGCCTGGGGACTTCAACACAGGCCTAGGAGGAGGCTTAAGGACAAAACCAGCACTATCATCTCCTCCACTTTTACTATTACTGTTAGAATCAAGGGACACTGAATTGCCTTGGTCAGCAACAAAATCAGTTGTGGTCACTGAATATCTACATACAGACAAAGAGACACAATGCCATGTCTTGTTACCCTTACATTTCCCTCTAGAAAGAGAGACTCTCCTCACACCAGAATGGGACCTTCCACAAGAACTCACACCCATGAGGCTCCCTAAACTCACTGGTGAAGCAAGAGAACTCATTGTTCCTTGCACGTTTCCCACTAATATAAGCATATTGATCCCCACCCCACAACACACACACACACACACACACAAAAATTAAAAAAAAAAAAAAAATAATCCTCGGAATAATAATAGCTTGTGAAACCTCAACAGTTCCTCATTACACCACACACCCCAGTTAAGAATTCAACCTACCCAGAAACCTAATTCCCCATGAAAATGAGAAAATAAGAGTAATATCAATATTCCTGACCCCAGTAGAAAAAGATGGATAATATGGTACCTGGGGTTCAAAGACAGAAACTTTGTGTCTCAAATTGAGGTAGAACATGAAAAAAGGGTTCTGGGTATTGCAAAGCAACGTGACATTTCACTTAAGAAAAAGAAAAAGCATAGGTCTGTGAAACAAGAAGAAGAAGAAGAAAGAACAAGGAAGCGAAGAAGTGGTTTTGTGGCTACTGAGGTGGGGATAACCTTAGCATTTTGTGTGGGTCTATGTGGATGGTTATTTGCCTGTCAAATTTTGTGTATGTGATATGCCGATAATTCCATTTTTTTATTTTTATTTTTTCGTGGCTTTTGATGCACATGGTTTTTTCTTTCCCTCGTACATGTCTCTCGAAGCAAATAAGCAAAGAATTGAAGAATAATTTCAATCATCTTTGTAAAGGGTGTGCATAAAGGGATTATGGTAACCACCTGACATTAGAACATCTGAACATGAATGATTTGTTTTTTATTTAATATTCGATTGATCAAAGTGTATATCACTAATATCAGCTTATTAAAACGCAATGAGACCACATAAAAAAAAAAACAAATTATAAAATGTCCATGTAATTAATAAATGGTTTTAATCTTTTTACATTGAATATATATAACTTATTTATTCATTCCCAAAATGATATCATTTTAAAGATTAAAAAATTACAATAAAAAAAATTGATATAATCCTGAAATAAATTATAATTATAAAAAATCATAATTTTCACTCCTTTGGACTTAATGTAAATTATCTTTATTGACCACAGAAAAACGAACCCTTAATAAATAGGCAATTGTTGAGTTCAAGAGAAATCTAATTTTTTTTTATAATTAGAGAAATCTATAATTTAAATTTGAGCAATATGCAACCAATAAATTTGACCACTTGCATCTACCATCTCGTATGATTAATAAAATAGAATTTTTAAATGTAAGTCGAATCAATAGTTAAAATAAGTATAAGATTTGTGATTCTTATACTAATAAAATTAATTATAAATAATACAAATATATATATATATATATAGGTTAAGATCATTTTACACCAGTGTAAGTTACACTCTCAATCTTATCCGTTGATCCTGTTTATATCTAAGGGCTCAAATTTTTTAGTAATGTGAGACATTGGATACAAGTGGATCAATGGTCAAGATTGAGTGTAAGACTTCTAACTCTTACACCGGTGTAAGAATATACTGTCTATATATATGGTAAAATCATTTCTGCAGCCGCTTTACGTACAGCAATGACACGTGTATGGTTATGATTCCTCACATTTAATGCTTTCATATATAAAAATGAAAGCATTAAATGGATGGAATCATAACCATACAAAGGATTAAAGCATTAAATGTTGTGTGGTCTAAATATATATATATATATATGTGTGTGTGTGTAGTCTAAATATTTATCATGTTGTGTAGTAGATAATTTTATCTCTTATACACAAATAAAAGTAAGAGATTAAATTTTTTTTTTTCTTTCTTCTCTTCACAAGACCTCACATAAGACTCACACACTTTTATCATATATGTGTGTGTAGGAGATAAAATTAGGATTAAACTTAATTAAAAAATATATATGAAAGCATCTTTTCTTTTTTTCTTTTTCTTTTTTTGGTAGGGATATGAAAGCATCTTAACTAAGGAAGGATCAATCGCTTATGTCCTTATATTAAAAATAAAAATAAAAATCTTATTGTTTGAAGCAATTTCTTAATGTTTGCTTTCTAATGTTCCAAATATAATTAAGAAATAAAAACCCATGTATATCAGTTGTATACGTAATAGAGTATTTACCATTCAAAGTATGATTTAAAATTATAAATATGTGCATATTATTAATTTAATTATACGTATGCTGTTACGCATAGAGTTCACCATGAACGTGAGTCTAACCAAAATGCAAAAGTAAGCTAGTAAAATAGAACATCTTTAAGTGATTTTTTGAAGAAAGTGGAGCTCCATTTTCAATGTCAAATGCATCTTTCGAAGAATTAATTTTTTTTTTTTCAAATATTAAACTTCGGGGCGTTTGGTAGAGGAGACATTTTTTTTTGTCCAGGAATCTCAATTTTTAAAAATATAATTTTTACATTCAGTTTACGATAATATCTGAAAATTTAAAATTTAAAAAAATTCAATTTTTCAAAAATCTTGGAGTCAGCGTACGAAACGCCAGGAGATATTTTGATTCTCAGGAAACAAATTTAGTAATTTCTCCTTCCCTTCTTCAGTTTTCATTTTTGAACTCTTCAAGTAACCAACATTGACCATCAAACAACATGCAACTTCATGACAAGATATTTTTAAAAAAATTTGCTCCAACTTTGGTAACTCTACTTAAAAATTACAATTAAGAACAACTCCTCTTTTCACCACCTGCAATTGAATTTTTATTTGTAATCTTAACGTACGGCCAAAGAGGATTTTTTGGTCATGGAATTCAGTAGATACAAATTTGCTAGTTATGCAAGAGTTTATCTTTATTATCCTATTAAAGTTTATAAAACATATAATTAAAACAAAGCTTTATAAACTTGTCTTCAAAAGTTTAAACAAAACTCTTATAAATTTGTCTATAAGTGAATCAGTGAAAGTATATTTAGTACTTAATTATTTAATTTAATGTGCACTATGATCATAATTTACTATGAAACTTAAGAACAAATATACTCTTATTTACTCACTTTAATTCCAGAATCACTTTAAATATATATTTTTACAAAAGCAAAATCAAATCACAGCTTAATCTTCAATGTATTTAAATTTCTATCTTCCAAATTGATATATTCTATTAGTTATTTATTACGAGTTATAACTTTAAATTGATATCTACTTGTATTTCATTTATTTTTGTAGGACAGTTTTTATTTATAATTAATTATATGTCATTTATTAACTCTTTAATGAATGTGATCATTTTTACCTTATATAAAATAGTCAATAGTATTAACAAACAAACAAAAAATAGTCAATAGTGTTTATTATTATTTTTGTGATTGTCTACTCAATTAGATACTGAGTTATTGGATGACTAATCCAATCCATGAATCACTTATTGAACCAGTTAAATCAAGATATCAATAGAAAAATATGTGATAAGTGTAATGATAGAAAGATTATAACTAACATATATTTATATATGTATAGCTTAGTAGTTAAATATGCATGTTTTCTTAGGCATATGTTTGAACTTCATTTATGGAATTTTTCTAAAAATTTTGCATAAAATTTCAAGAATCACTTTAATTTGTAAGACCAATGTTAGGCTAACACCGATTCAACCTGGTTTAAAGCTATAGGAGAATAATACTTGAATTTATAAATGAGAGAGAAAGATAGAAAGGATGAAGAGAAAGAAAGAAAATTGTGGGATAGAGAAAGAGGGGCTATAGCAGAATACTACCTGAATTTTTCTTCCATGTGAATTTTTCTTAATTCGAATGAATTAAGAAAATACTTTCAGACATATATTACATAAGACCAGCAATGAACTTAGTGCTAGGAGAGATAAATTTTTGTCTATGGCAAGGAGAGTGGTGTTAACAAAGTTAATCCTTGCTGCCCTCCCTACATACTCTATGCAAACCTCCTTTATTCCCCTTAGTACTTGTGATGTTGTTGAACAAAGGATGAGAGGCTTTGTGTATGGTTCTAGCCGGGAAGCGAAAAAAGTCTATACCTTGTCTTGGAACACAGTTTTCCAGGCAAAAAGAGATGAATGTTTGGGGATTAGAAGCCTAAGACAAACCAACAAGGCTTATTTTATGAACATCAGACATGGTATGCTCACTAACAAGAATGAGCTTTGGACTAGAGTCTTGAGAAGTAAGTATAAGGTGGAGGATAGATTAATTCCTAACATTGCTAAAAAAATCCGGTGTGTCAAATCCGTGGCAAGGCATAACACAAGTCTGGCCTCAGATCGTTGCAGGTTCACGAATTATAGTTGACAATAGACATGGTAGCTCCTTCTGGGATTACAAATGGTTGCCCATTGGCTCTTTTAAGGACCACACCACCCAACAAATTCCACCTGACCTTTTTAATACTAAGATACTCCACATGGTAAACCAGAATGGGGATTAGAGCTGGCATGTCTTTGCCAACCTCATCACCCTATAAGCTCTGAGTTTCGTTGCAGGAACCTGCCCACCCCACCACCTTCCCGGGATGGTAGCTTCTCCATAAAATCTATTTTTTGTAGTTTGAATTTTGAGAGTTCATATTAGTAGCAACCAAAGTAGAGTATAGTTTGGGAGTGGAATGATCCTCCTAGGATTAAAACTTTCTTATGGCAAGTACTTGGAGAGAATCTCCTTACAAACCAGAAAAGAAAACAGAGGCGTATAACAGAATCTGACTTTTGTCCAGGTGAAAATCTTATCCGGAAAGCTACCTTCATGTGTTGAGGGACTGCAGCTGGTCCCAATCTATTTGGAGTGATTTTATTGGTTCTGATAAATGAGCTGGTTTTACTAACCTCTGTAACAACCCGAGTGCTGACGATTGTATGGTTAGTGGAAGAGCTAACGTACAATTGAATGTATGGTTAGTGGAAGAGCTAGCATACTATCAGCGGGAGGGGTACATGAATGAATCCAATAACACCGGAAAGATAGGGATTCCAGAGATTGTGCTGGTATAGGACAGCACAGCTGAGGATAACTTATAAGAATTAATTGGTACTACCTATACTAATAAGATGCATCTACTTTTCGGTAGCCCAGATCAGAAGAACTCCACAGTTAAGCGTGCTTGACTTGGAGCAATTCAGGGATGGGTGACCTCCTGGAAGTTTTTCCGGGAAATGTGCGAGTGAGGACAAAGCACGCTGAAAAGTCTCGTGTTAGTGTGAGGGGATAGTCGTTGATGCTTGCAAGTGGTCGGGCGTTACAACCTCCCCTTGATAGAATTGCTGCAAACAGATTTAATGTCGAAGAAGAGCAGCAAACAGATTTAATGTCGAAGAAGAGCACCTTAGGTGGAGAAAAAGGATGCATTCTGTTTGATATAATTTAATGGTTTATTTAGAAAGATAGTAATAGGTTGGTTTTTGAAAATCATAGTTCTAGGGTGGAGAATTAACTAAAGCAGCCTGCGCTTATCTTTCAAAATTTTGGATGCAAGGTATCCTGGGTGTTTCTAAAATTGAAATCTTGATTCGTTGGTCCT